GGGTTTTGTCCCGCCCTAACTGTGACAGCCGTTCAATATCCCATCATGTACCATCATTAAAGCCATGCACCCTCTCAAATGTGTGCTGTCAATGAGGGTTTAATGATGCCAAAGTAGTCTCTCCCCACTCAACAATCATGGCGAAGAAAATTTGTCTTACACCAAGGTGCCACGTAATCTATGGCTAGCCTTTAGCCCTACCTCTTTTGCCTATTTGAAATAGGTGAGGCTGAATATGGAACTGATACTAATAGAGGATGAGTTCCCATGCAATATTTGCCCAGCAAAAATTGAGATTGAGCCCACAATGATCTCTATAAAATTGAAAAGCCACCAAAGCTTCAGAGAAAATTTATCAACAAAGTCATGCAATCTCTTTAAGCGTAGTCCACCTCATCAGTTGGAAGGCAAAGATCATTTCGTATCTTCCAATGTAATCTACTCGATATCCTATCTCTAGTATAACAACCAAGAGCCGATCAATTGACACTTCTTCTCATTCCCGTCCTTATGAGCGTTCTCTCATGGAATGCAAAGAGTGTAGTTAACATAGCTACTCGTAGGAGTCTTAAGAGACTAATTCAACTTCATCGGGTTTTTTTAATGATCTTGGAACCATTTCTGCTTTGGGAGAGATTTGGTTCTATTCGAATATTTCTTCGCTTCGATATTGGAGTGTAGAATGAGTCGAATCAGACTTGGTGTTTCTATAACCTAGGTACCATTATGACTGTACTTGTTGGACATCCTCATTTCATTTTATTAGAGTTGAGGATCCCAAACTAGCACAACCTATTTTTCTATCTCTGGTGTATGTTTCATGTTCTCCTTCTCGTATAAGAGACTTGTGGGCAAGTCTTCACCATATTTTCCTCGATGTGGAATTTGTGGTAGATATGAGTTATCAGAGGCCACAGAAGTCACGATGATGTTCTTTGGAATTAAGAGATTCCCCTTAGGATGGTTATGCTAAATTGGACTTATATTCTCACAACATGTTAGAACTAATCCTGGAAAAACATTATCTTTAGTACTTTTTTTATGGCCTTTGGACCTTGGATTCGCAGATTTCGCTCTTAAATGTGGAAGGTAGTTGTCGTTGATGAAACATTTCTAACCATGAATGATGCATAATATGTAAATATTATGATTTATTCTCATGTTTGGGGTATATTTGATGCCGAGAATGATGTATAATGGACTTGGTTGTTTGCAAAGTTGAAAGTAGCAACGAGGGATATTGAAGATCTTTTTGTTATATGTGGCCGACATCAAAGTATTATCAATGTAGTGCAAGTTGTCTATCAAAATGCACATCATGGTCATTATGTCTATCATACGAAAGGCAACTTAAGAACCGTAACTCGAAAAATTGAGATTTTCCCATTCTTTAAGAAAGCAGCAGAGACATATACTTTAGAAGAGTTTGAAAATTATATAAACAAAATTAAGAGAATTGATAATAAAGTTTGGAAATACTTAATCAAAGCACATTTCCAAATTTAGGCCAAGTCACATTTTTAGGGGAACCGTTACAATATCATGACATTGAACAATGCAGAGTCACTGAATTCGGTATTTAAGAAAGATCGACATGCATTGAATGAGAGTATTAGGAAAATGCTGCAAAAATGATTTTATAAGAGGCGTGTAAATGCACAGAACTGTACAAGTACTCTAAAGCCAATAATTGAATAAAAATTGTATAAGAATGTTGATAAAGTCAAGAGGTTTGTTATCTAGCCGATGGACCAATTCATGTATTGTGTGAGGACAAAAAGCGTGAAATATACTTTTGACTTGGATGAAAAAAAATTTACGTGTAGACTGTTTCAATTAGAACATTTATCGTACGAGTATGCAGTAAATGCGATGCACTTGAATTATTGGCGTTAGAGTGCTTGTACAACTCTATATATTCATACGCTTCTTACAAAATCATTTCTACAACAATACTCTCAATTAATGCAAGCATCATATTTTGTAGATCTTTCTTAAACATCGAATTCAGTGGCTCTACATTGTTCGATATCATGATATTGTAACGGATCCCCTAAAAGTGTCACTTGATCCAAATTTGGAAACTTGCTTTGACTAAGTATTCCCAAGCTTTATTTTGAGCAACATTATTTTGAAAAAAAATGTATTTTGAAATAGTAGATTGATGGAGAATGTGTGGTTGAAAACGAAGGAAAAATTATTGATGTGATGGAAAATATTATTTTATTGAAAAATGTGTGGTTGAAAATGAGTAAAAGAATGAAAATGAAAATTTTAATGTGGCTCAAACATGATGCAATTCTCTTGATTTCACTAATATAATTTCTAAACTCTTCTAAAATATACGCTTTACTACTTTCTTAAATAGTAGGAAAATCTCTGTTTTTTTAGTTACGTTCCTTAAATTGTCTCATATATGATAGAGACAATGACCATGATGGGCATTTTAGTAGAAATTTTTTACTCCATTGATAATACTTTGACATCGATCAAATATAACAAGATCTTCAATATTCCACGTTACTTCTTTCAACTTTGTAAAAAACCAAGTTCACGATACATTATTCCCGGAATCAACTATACTCCAAGCAAGTGGATAAATCTGAATATTTGCATCTTGACAAGTTACAACAATCAACGTACCTTTATATTTCATGGTTAGAAATGTTATATCAACAACAACTACCTTCCGCATTGAAGAGTGAAATCCGCAAATTTAAGTTCCAAGGATCATAAAAAAGTACTTGAAGCAGTTTCCACCATCAATCTCTAAAGATAATGATGTTCCATGATTAGTTCTAACCAGGTTATGAGAATAAAAAGCCCAATTTAGCATAACTATGCTTGGAGGAACCTCTCAAAATTTCCAAATCACATTCTCGTGACTTCCATACCCTTTGATAAGTCATGTCTACCCCGAATTCTCCACGTCTTTAATGATGTCTATATACAGTGTTGATATTTTGAAAGTTAGGCATTATATGTCTTCCAACAACCCACGATCTTGTTTGTCTATAATTATTTTGACGAATACTCACAGAGCAAATATGTTCACGTGCATATTTGTGAACTTGAAAGTAATCACAATTTTTTAATTTAGATGCTCATAGACGTCTTTTGCAATTTTCATCTATGAAAACAATTATACATGCTTCCTTGTTTGATTTCTTCACTCTAAATTCCAAGATGTACTTCATGGCAAGCATGTGAATTTCCATCATACGATTTTTTTTTTTTTTTTGCTGAAAATTTGGTGATCTTCTAAATATGAATCCTCGGGAATCACATGTAACGTAATAGTTGAAATGAAAAGGTGCATATTTGTAAAAAGATTTTCTTCTTTGTTGTTTTGAAGTATCTCGGATTTATGTGTAAAGAAAACAATGCCACCATTTTGAATAATAATAATAATATCTACATCATTGGATTTGACCTATCCCAATCAATATTTTCAGTCTAATCCACTTCATTGTCATCATCCGCTTGCATTCCACAATGAAGATTGTTGCCTTCATTTTGCACTTCACAATGAACTTCATCGTCTTCCAATTCATGAAATGAATCATTATCTTCTTCTTGTGAATGCTCAGTTGGACCTTTGCTCACAAAGCGTTACACAAATGGAACTATGAAAATCTTTTTTGTTGAGAGATAGCAAACACTGCACCTGCCTATTTGATATAATTTTGATTGAAACTTAAAACTGTTCATTTGTATATAAAAAAATATGGTTTCAATTTAATGCAAAGATGAATTAACATTGCAAAGATCTGGCATTTCACAATATAGATTATGATATGAAGTAACTGAAGATATTGGAACTCCTTCAACCATTTCATAACTCCCACTTTATATTGACGTCCATTTTCTTTGATCATCATTAACAAAGTCGCCAAAATAGAGTATAGCAATTCATTTTTTTTAGTCCACATCTGTAAATTAGAATAATAAGACTTTATAATGTTAACAAATAATCAATCATAGTAATTTAATACGACTACAATCGTTTTAAATGATGACATTCATTTTAAATGGGTCTGTAACTAATAGCATACAAAATTGTGCTTTTCAAAGCTATTTCAGATTAAAAATACATTCAAACACTTGTCTAAACATAAATGATAATAAATATATGTACAAATAAAAATAACACGGGATCAAAAAATAAATAAAAGTGATAAGAATATCTTACCAATATAGAAATGTAAGGATTTGTTCTTTAAATGTGCTTCCTTATACTTCAAGTAAAACTACATAAAAAGAAGAAAAGAGAACAAAGAAAAAGATTATAGATAAACTAAAGAAGAAGAGAAGAAGAAAGTTGGAATTGGAAGGGTGAACAAATCAATGAAACTAACGGTTCAGATTTGAAATTATTTGAGATATTTCAACAATATGAAAAAAGGATAATTTGTGGCCTTCCCACATTCGTGGGTCTTCACGCTTTATTGTTTCTTAATTTATTCATATTTGGATAAGAGGTAGTACCTCATCATTTACTGCTTTCCTCTTTCATGCATTTGATTAGAGGTTAGATTTATACAGCTTTCATTCATGGTCCATTTATATCATGGTAGAGGAATCTTGATTCTCGCCATTATGCTTTGGTGGAGCCTAAAAAATAGATCGGAGCTGTGATGGACTTTAAAATATAGTCCCATTTATAGGGAAAAAATTAAGCTCAAATAACTTGTAATAAACTTAAACCTTACAAGAAAATTTAAACTAATCTGAATCAAATCTAACTCTACTTTAAAATCCTATACATCCTCCATTTATTTTTTCATTCCCCATCATATTCTCCATCTTTCTAGTTGTATAATAGAGTTGGCCATTCCCAATCAACAATGTTAAATCATTCATCTAGTTAATTTTGTTTAACAGGAAATATTGCTAACGTAATAATTTGGACAAAGTATGAAGAGAATATTCATATGTAGGTACCTATGTTTGTTTGTTTAATTTCATTGATATTAGAATCTAAACTTTTTGTGTTTCAGATAAGGGATTTTCACATTGCAAAACGTGAAGAGGATATAGGTTTCTATGCTGGTTTTATAGGTAGTCTTTTTCATTTTCAAATTCTGTGATATAGATATGTGACTGATCAATTTTTCTCACACTCAAAATGTCTTGGGTTCATGAAGGGGCCTCTTATATGCTTGGAAGAGCTTTGACATCTATTATGTGGGGAACCATTGCCGACAGATTTGGTCGGAAACCTGTGATAATTATAGGCACTGCCTCAGTGTCAGTGATCACTTTCTTTGTCATTGATATGTTTATTTTGAATGTCACGTGACTTTTTAGTCTCTAATACTTTGAGAGTTCACTTTTAGAGTTGTTTTCAACACTCTATTTGGGCTTAGTACAAACTTATGGATGGCCATTTCCACGAGGTTCCTTCTTGGAAGTTTGAACGGTGTACTAGGACCAATAAAGGTATGTAATAATCATTTTGTAAGCATGTTGAGTAAGATGAAAAGTGTAATGCAATCCCTGAAAACTACATTTCATTGGTAGTAACTTATTTAGCTGTTGTAAAGTGTAGTGCAATCCCACATAAAACTTTTTGCTTTTCTTCATATCAGGCATATGCATCTGAAATAGTCAAAGAAGAATACCAAGCTCTTGCAATGTCAGCTGTAAGCATTTTTGTTGTAGTAATTATTAACTTTCATACTTTACACTGTTTGATAATTGAAAAGAATTCTGCTATTATGAAGAGACTAACTAATGCAACTAGGCTAGAGGTATGCAAAAAGCTATTAGAAATCTAGTGTAGATGACTTTCTCAATTTTAAAAAGCTCCGACTCAACCGTTGATGAAGGCATAATTGCCTATCTTTTTTAATCCCTTCTTGTATTGCTACAAGCTGTTCATTTTATCTAACGGAATAATACCTCATGCCATGTCAATATATATATGTGTGTGTGTGTCAAGGCTGTATAATCATCATCTAGCTATCCTTAGTCGATCAATTTGTAAATAATACCCTTCCCAATTTTATTTCATAAACCAGTTTGTATAGGTCCCTTTCTTCATCATACCTCTTATTTGGACTGCCATCTTAAGCTGTCACTCTCCCCTAGTCTTTGTACAACTAAAGTTATCTCAAGCACATGGGACTCTGATATTCCCTGCGTCTGTAATATCATTGGTTAAGTTATTTATATTCCTAGCCCAAAAGTTTTTGCATTATTTCTTACATAAAACAAATTCTTATCCTAACCTTGGAATTTATCCATTGAAATATATTCGTGATGCACCTCACTGACATACTCGAGTCTCCTGCAAACTAAGCACAATTCTCACCCCTTGTTTACTTCACTTGTTGCTGGGGTGATATTTGCAAAAGATAATTGGATTTCGTTCCATAATCAGTTTCTGATTCTCTACTATTAGCCCCATTATCTTAGTGGCACATCATCCTTATACTCCGCATTAATTATTATGGAAACTTTATATCACGATTTCCTCTACTAATTTTCCACTTCACAGTACTTTTCACATCTCACTGTTGCTCTGCTGAGTATACTGAGACTTAGGCCCAAATACACCTTTATCAGTTGATATCAGAGATTTTGTTATGCCATCATCCTTCCAATCTATGGTGAAGCTTATACGGTAAAAATTCTTGAGTTTTGTCAAACTTCTCATTTTGACATGTGATACAAAAGAATCACCTATTTTGATTAAAATAAGATCAGAATCAGCATTGTATGTCAATTAGCTCCTTAGAGTTCACTAGTAAACATTATGCATTTTAGGTAGATTCAATGATTCTTGCCAATGAATCCTCCCAATAAAGCATGTTAATAACACACTTTCAGATGAATCATCGCAACAAAGAAAGAAAGGGTAAGGTCAGCAAACATGATATGGCAAATTGTTAGTACTTTCATCTTTGTGCTAAAGTTCTTCTTTGAACCAATTCTAGAAGTTATATTTGCAATGCCTCCAACTCCTTTCGGAAGCTCCTCTCCCTTCTAAAAAAGTATATTATAAAATATTTTCCCCGTTCTTAGAAAGTTTAATCCTTTTTAGTTGCCTCAAAATGTTATCTTTCCAGTTAATTGGTTTGAATGCTTCTCAATCGAGGTTCTTCTCATTAAATAACAGAATACTTCCTTAATTACAGCCTCTAAATAAGGTATGTACAATCAAATCTCCTGTACTAGGAATGATATAATTATGTACAAGGAAATATCAATTTGTTTAAGGTGCACTCATCGACAGCCCATTGACACTTCCAACCACACCAGTTTAGATTAGAGTTAGAAAATCACCTTTATCTTTCAATATATATATTTTCTAGGTAATGTCACTCAGCAGCTTCTGAGAATTTAATGTCCTTATTTCAGGTTGGTACAGCCTGGGGTGCGGGATTAATCATCGGGCCAGCTTTAGGAGGATTTCTTGCGCAGGTACTTATTATTTGTAGCTGAAAGTTACATCAAACTCCAGATATGATCAATATTATTGGTAATTTTAGGAACAACAAATCCAGATAATAAAATTAGCAACATTGCCAGTTGTCATTATTAACCTATGTTTGAGCCCCATTTTTTTGTTGAAAATAAGTTTTGTAATAGTGAATTCTTGGAGAATGTTTATTTATAAAGTATAAAAAAGTTTGAATTTACATGCAAATTTTATTGTGAAAATGTGTGGTTGAAAATGAGTTTTAAGATGGTAGAGATCAAACAGGGGCTAATTCTGCTCCAGATTTGCATTGTTACAGGTGGTCGTCATCAGTTTTGTTCCATTTCTGTTTATCTTTCACATCAAGGTTAAAAAAATTGAAGCTCATTAAACTAGCAATATATAAATAGAAGAGGCACGAAAATAAAAGATATACTGAACATATAAAAGGGAAAAAAATGAGTATATACTTACTAGGACTTTAGGTCCACATTTGATACACGGTATTAGACTGAATTGCATTAGACCACAACCAACTTCATTTTCTTTGTAAATCTTGTCTATTGTTGTCAATTCTCATATAACAAACATTCCTCGGGAGTACCCTGGAAACATGTTTTAATGTAGGGATAGTCATCCTAAAAATTAGGAGTTAATCATCTCTTTGATTGCAAAGTAAGACCTTTGTGTAACTTTCAACTTTTCATTTAACTTGTGGCTTTTTCCCTTTTCTTAATTTTGCTATTTGTACTTAGCCCGCAGAGAAATTTCCTGCTGTATTTTCGACGGGTTCTCTATTTGGAAGGTAGTTTTTCTCGTTGCATCATCTTTTTGGATAATAATCTTCAGTTTCTGGAATTCTTATATCTAACACATGAACATTTTCTGCAGATTCCCATACTTCTTACCCTGCCTGATAATATCACTCTTTGCATTTATTGTGGCTATTGCTTGTTTTTGGATTCATGTATGTTTCCTAACCTTGCTCTGTTAGTGTCGATTTAAGATGTTTAATTCAATTCGACATATGATATCATATTCATTTTACATGTTTTTTTTTCCATTTTTAGCCTATGATTGTAGTCAAGTTCTTTTTCACAAGAATGTCCATGTGCACACTTTTTTATCTTATGAATAAATCTTAACTGAATATCCAATGCTGTCTGGAACTATACATACTTCCAGATTAAGACGTTGACACTATATATCCACATATATTAACATATGATGTTCACTATTTCAACTTGTTCACAATTGTGGTGAATTCCCGAAAACTACAAAATATTCATGCAATTTTTGGTTCTAAAGTTCGTGACATTATCTCCATCTTGTTTTTCAAATTCCTTTTTGCTCTTAATTGTACATGAATGTTTGGTCTAAGTTCCAAGAAATGCAGGAAACTTTGCACACACACAAGTCAAAGAAGTTATCATCTGCTCTGGAGTCTGCATCTCCAGGGTCAAGTGATGAAGCGGACATGAACGAAGGAAGTTCCAATGAAAGCCTAATCAAGAACTGGCCCTTGATGTCATCCATCATAGCATATTGTGTTTTTTCAATTCATGATTTGGCTTACACTGAGGTAAAGTACATATCAGAGTCCAGTGGTCAAAATTTGCTTGCATGAAAGTCTGCGTCTTTAACTGATCAATTTAATTTAGCTGATTTGTATTTTGATTGTAACTAATAGTTCCCTGTCTGAACCATGCATATGCAGTAGTCAAACAATAAATAGAAATCTATTTTAGGCCCTGTTTGGTACAAATTTTTTTTTCATTCTCATTCTTCTACTTATTTTCAACCACACATTCTTCAATAAAATAATATTTTCGATCTCATCAATAACTTTTCCTTCATTTTTAACCACACATTCTCCATCAATCTACTATTCAATAATACATTCTTTCAAAAGAATGTGTCCCAAACACACTCTTAATTTACTTTTATATTCTAGTTTAACTAGAATTGATTTAGGGGTTAATTTCACAAACGGTCACTGAAGTTTAAAACTTGCAGAAACGGTCACTGAAGTTTAAATTTCTTTCACAAACGGTCACTGAATTTTCAGATTTTTTGGGCAAGTTTTGCGGCAATTTTCTGGCAACTTC